CCCAGGAGCATTTTGGCTATACCTTTTCCAAGACATAACTGTTTTTTTTTTTGGCAGTCCATGGGCTATTAAATACTCTTCTCTAACCTCACAGCTCAAAGACATCCATTCTTCTTCTGTCATCCTTAGTCATATCCCAACTTTCAGATGTGTAGCAAGTACTTGAAAAGACTGTGGCCTGAATCAGGTACACCTTAGTCTTCAGACAGACACCATTGCATTTCCGTCTTTTGGAGAGATCCCTAATGCCAGACTTGCCTAATGCAATATTTTTCCTCATCCCCTGACTGCTGGTACCAAGTGTGTTTATCATTGGTCCAAGAAAGATTAAATCATTTACAACTTCAATCCTTTCTCCACCTATCATAGTGTTGTTTATTGGCCTAGTGATAAGGGTTTTTGGTTTTTTATGTTGAAATACAGTCTATATTGAAGGCTATAGTCCTTAATCTTATGCAGCAAGTTTTCCAAGTCCTCTTCACTTTCAGCAAGCAAAGTTGTGCCGTCTGCATAAAGCAGGCTGTTGAAGAGTCTTCCAACGGTCTTGATGCCACATTCTTTTTTCATAAGTCTAGCTTCATGAATTATTAGCTATATAGTATGCTGTAAAATATGGATATATGAAATTACTTCATTCTTTTAACATTATTTTATCTATTTGGGGGTCTCCTCTCATTTCATAAAGAGTTCTGGTGGTGCTGTGAGGGAAGCAGGGGATGGCTAACTGGATGGTTGGAGGTTCATACCCACCAAGGACTCTGCAGGAGAAAGATGATTCATTCTAGTTCCATAAAGATTTATAGCTTTGGCCTGATCCATAGGGAGCTGAGCTGCAAGCCCAAAGGCAGCACCTCTCTGGCAGTTCAAATCCACCAGTGGCTCTGTGGAAAAAAGATGAGCAATCTCTTCCAATGTAATTTAGTCTCCAAAACCCTACTTGAAAGGTCAGCTGTAGATTGATTCCATGACAATGAGTTTTGTTTTTAAACCCTCTAAGGTGGTTCGAGAAGGTCTTACAGGGTCATTATGAGTTAGAATGCACTCAGTGGCAGTGGGTGTGGGTTTGTAAATTTTGCTATTTCATATCCAGTTGAGGACTGATGAAATTTTGCCAGAAGTTGCATTGGATCTGTAGATTCCTTTAGATGATACTTGCATCTTGACAATATTAAGCCTTCAAGTCTGTGAATGAAGCATCTTTCTGCTTATTTAAGTTTTCATTAATCTCTTTCTGCTGTATTTTATAGTTTCCAGTGTAAAAATGCTGTGTACCCCCAGCAAGACTAGCTGGCTGTGGTTGTTTCTTGGATTTTTTCACTGATTATATTGTGGATAAGCCTTTGAAAATTACTTGAAAAGGTTAGTATAGTAACTTGCTTGTAGTCACTTTTTCAGATTTACGATGGTAGTAAGAAACAACCATAAGTAAATAATTTCATATTTGAATTCTACTACACAAGGCACACAAATATAATCAGGACAGAAATTGCTGAACCTTATAAATGACTGGCCCAGGGAGGCCACACACCTATCTGTTTTCTAGTCAGACAGTACTAAAGTGTCATACTAACAGTGGAGGCCTGATGAAGCTAAATAAATTATTTAGCTCGTCAGTATGGACTGCTCTTAAAAGTTGAAGCCTTATAGGAGCACAGATCTATATTTCTTGGATATTTTAATCTAAGTAGCATCTGTTAAACTATTAGGATTTGAATGCCATTCCTGTAATTTATGTTTTGTTGACATTTCCAACAACTCCATTTATTGGAAGTGAGAATGCTTTTCTCTTTCCTTTTACTGTGTTTACTAGGGAATAAAAAGAATACTGGAAGAATTCTATCAGATTAGATGTAGGTATAGACATTCTTTTGTAGTTGAAGTATTACCTGTAATTTAAACTTCACTTGTAGGACTGTGAAACAGCTTGTCTCAAAGCATCCTGTTTTCTTCTCATCTTGAGAATGATTTTTGCCCTTTTTCCTCCATGTGGATAATTCTGAGAATTGCTTCTTTTCAGAACTAGATTTGTGATAACTGCTTATAGTCAGCTAATTAGATGATTCACTGCCTGTATACCAAGCTACACTTTTCCTTCTGAGAGAAGATTGCTGCACATGTGCAGGCTCTCATCTACCCACTTAGCTAACACTGAACAGCTAGCTAATACTATAATCATTGTCCTGTATCCATTTACTGTTCCAACATTTATGAAAATAAATGAGGAAATGAGTTCAAATTTTAATACAGGAAATCATCTAAATGCCTATAGTCGAATACCAAAGTAAACCAGGTGGTATGAGGATGGCACACAATAGGACAAGGTTCAGCTCTGTTTGTCACAGTGCACTTGATGGCACCTAGCGGCAACATGTGATATAGTGTGTGAAGGAGTTGTGATGCTAACATAGAGATCAGCAGTTCAAATCCACGGGTGCTCTGAGGGAGAAATAAGGACAGTCTTCTGCTGTAAAGATTTACAGCCTTGAAAACTCAATGGAAGGTCAATATAAGTCCAGATAAACTCTACGGTAGCTGGATGATGTTATTATGAGGTTGATGAGCATTTTATTTTTTAAGTTTTCATACCTCCTGAGCAAGATGTATTAGGTAGTGAGTAGACTGACCAGTGTTTTGACTCTTTAAATTATTTCTGGTTGTTATATCATCTTATATTCTTTGTTGTTGTTGTTAACTTCTTTATTGGATTTTTATTCTACTCCCAAAGTGTTCTTTGTGGCACCCTCTGGTGGTTTAAAAATGCAGTCGCAAAATGACAGCTGTGACTTCCTCTTTAGCTTTCACATAATCTGGATTCCCTTTTGTAAGAAAGTAAAATTGTTTTGTTGTTGTTATTGTTGCTATGATTCAGGTACTGCTATCTAGTTTTCCCATCATACTTTTCCGAAATAGAAATGTACATTTAGGAGAGAGATGTTTATTCCATGTTTTCTTGCATGGAGCTGGTTTGTTGATCTTGAAGCCTCCTATGGCTCCTATGCCTTTGAAATAAAATCCAGACTTCTAGGGGTGTCAGCTTTCACTCCCAGTAATTATAGTGTCCTATTCTCCACAGGCACCTCAGGAACATCTCCTGACCCATCAGTGTCCTCTGGGCCTGTCCCTGCAACGGGCACCCTGGTCCTCCTATCCTTGTCATTTAATGATATATCCGGTGCCTTCCTGAAACTCCAATTTAAAGTGTACCCCCCTAATTGCCATTTTCTCTGCTTTTCCACTTGTTTTCTTTGTAACATTTATTCTAGTATGCAATTATTTTACTTGGGAACTTTTTTTGGTTAACTTTCTTCTTAAGTATATTTATTTATGTATTGCTTATTTTGTTTGTTTGTTTTGTTTATGGTAGTATCTCCTGTATAAAGTGCATAAGAACTCTTAACCCCACTGTTACTTGGAGACATGGCCGGGACCAAGTCAAACCTCAAATGAATTTGAGAGCTATGGCATTAACACGCATTTGAGATGATCTTAAAATAAAATCTGTTGAAATACATTTCCTTTTTTTAAAAATACATTTCTAATTTTCATTTTTTTTACTCAATTCATATAGAAAATGGTCTGATAAGTTTTTTAATTTAAGATCTCTAGTGCTTTTTCCAAGTCATTGTTATCAGAATGTAAACTCACTACCTAGGCTTCTTATATTTTTATTTGTTGTTTGTTTTTGATTGCCGTCTAGTCTAGCACAACTCATAGCGACCCTATGAACAAAAGGCCTGACGTATTTCTATATTGTCATTTCTCAAAGTTCATAGAGTCTCCAGAGGCATGTTGTTTAGGAAGTGGATGCCACTCCTGCTTCCAACAATATTATTGACCTGCCAGAATAATAAACTTTCAAAGAAAAATCTTAATGATACCTGAATTCTATTGTTGAAGTAGGTATATTTTTTTAAATAATTTTTAAAAAGCACCTCAAACTCATTACTGTCAAATTGGGACTGACTGAGGTGGACTGATTCAGTGACTGGGATAATCGGGATGGGTGTGTCAGAGGCAATGCGATTGGTACAGGATAGAGCACAGTTTAGGGCTGTTGTACATAGGGTTGCTATGAGTCACAAACGACTCGACGGCACATAACAACAGCAACAACAAATATTTTATGGGACTTGGTTTCTTGATTTGAAGGTTCAGGGTCCTGGTTTCATGGAACACCCAGTGGTCTAACACTGTCAAGAGCTTCTGCCTTACTTCCTTGTTTGTGGCTCAGTGCCTGAGGTCTTCAAAGCTGACCAGCAGCCATCCCAGGCACAGCAGTGGTCTTTCCTCACCTGGCATGGAGAATCAAGAGTTGAAGGAGAAAGCAGAGTGTGTGGATAATGGCCTCCCTGAGCAACTGCCTCCTCTGTGTAGAACCAGAACCACTTGGTGCCATGCTGTCATCCCTGGATACTTAATCAAGGACTGCATAGAAGGATCCTTCCTGAAAGAACAAGATTCAGAACACAATTCCCAATCTCATGAAATTGACCTTTCTGGAAGCATGTAGAACAGATAGACTCTTGAAACCTTTGCCCTTAGATAATCTTAAAACTTAAATCAATGAACATCCCTGAAGTCTTTATAAAACCCTAGTAATAGTTTAGCTTCACTAGTGAAGCATATTCACCTTGTGCAACGTGCTCTTTTAAGAACTCTGGCTGATCAAGGTGACAACAGCTGGAAAAATTAAATAGGAAACAGCTGGAAAAATTAAATAGGAAACTTGAGGACAGTGAATTTGTCATGAGGAAGAAGAACGAGGCAAGAGGGTGCCAATTTTTGGTGGTGAACTGGCCTGTGTTCTGTGCTGGATGTCCACCACCACAGTAGGAGGAAACAGCATGGAGAATGGCTGCAAGGTGGCTTCTCAGCTTCTTTGTGCCTATTCTCCTTCTCCCTGGGATTGTAGGGCATGACCCTCCTTATAAGATGATTTGACCCCCTTTGCCTCTGTTTAGATGCCAAGTAAAGGACATTTGTGTTGCTCTTTCTTGCAGCCCTCCCAGTTTGAGCAGAGCATTGCGCTATCCCTGCAGGCCCTGACAGGCGTCCTGGAGTGCAAGCCTGGAGAAACCAGCGTGAGTGCCCTCTTCACTCGCCTCTGGAATCACCCATAACTGTTTGTCTTATTTTGCACAAGAACTGTTTTCTTCTGATATTTTTTTTTTGCTTTTTAGAATGTTATCTTAAAATCAACACAGGGTCATTGATTTTTAGTTCCAAAAAGACTGACAAGAATTAAAAATGAAAATGTAAGTTATCTACAGTGCTTGACAGATGTTGTCACCTGTGTCAGAGGAAATGATTGGCCTGGTCTTGCTAGTCACCATGGGAAGTCACTGTCTTCTCGGGCCACGTAGCTCTCTTCAGACACCTTTGCATTCTTCCTTCTGAGAAGGATTTATGCTAGTGGACCCTTGTTCATGTTTTAACTTTGGAAAATCTAACTTCCTTTTTTAAAAAGTTTTGTTCACATGAAGTCCAAAAAAGTGTTGATCATAATTATTCCTTATAGGTCTTTCAACAACCCAAAACACAGGAAGATGTTTGCCGACTCAGCATCAGCATCATGCAGGTATGAAAGGCAGTGGTGTCCTGGGCCCGAAATAATGTGGGTTATTACCCAGCCTCTTCCCATTTCACAGGTATAACTTAGAAACCTCATTGCTGCAGAATCAGAACCAACTCATAACTGACCTTCACAAAGGTTTCTGAGTCTGTAAAACACACAAGAGATTTCTCATCATTTGCCTGAGGAGCTACTAGTGAATTTCAACTGCCAGAGGGAGTCATCTTCAAATTAGCAGAACAGCTTCTTGTGAACCAGGCACTAGAAGTCCCTTCATGTGTGTACACACACACACACACACACACACACACACACACACACACACAACTATATTGTGCATTTAGAGCATGTAATATTTAATATATGCTATATATATATATATGAAATATACTATATATAACACAAATTATATATTTTATATATTTTATTTTTCACTTGAGTGCATAATAGTTTATGGTAGATAGGTGTCTTAGTGATCTACACACTGATGCTGTAAAACAAATAGCATATGTTGATATCTAAAGAACAGAAATTTCCTTCCTTGTAGTTCTGGAGGTGACATCCCAGGCTGCTTGGTTACAGACCTTGCATGGTATCCAGCATCCTGTTTACCTTCTTTATCATCTCATCTGCTCCTTCGAAAACTCATAAGTACTTGTATTTAGAGCATAGACTACACTGGTACAGCATCAGTAACATAGCAAAGGCCACCTGTATCTAAATAATGATTATATCCACAGGCATTACGTCTGTAATACAGTATAACAATAAGGCTTAATGTGAGATTAATTCCAGCTTGTTTTTGCAATACTCTACTGTCTATTTTATCTCCTCTTTTATGTTCTTTGAGTACTTTTTGGACCAGAAATTGAATTAAATCAGTTGTTATTGATGTTTCTACAGTGTAAAGTGCTCTGGTTGTAACCACAACTTTGTAACCATATAAACAAAGTCAGGCTAGCAAGTGAATGAGAGGGCGGTAAAAATAAAAAGCTTTTCTTTTCCCCTAAAAGCATGTTCTAGAATCTACCATTTGGATGAAAAATAAAATAGATGCTGTTCATATTTGTATCACTTAGTGGACTGGAAGCCTATCTCTGTTTTAATCTCTATTTTAATTCTTTAGATGTCCAAATAGATGAATTTTGGCACATTCATATTATTGAAACTTGTTCTTGTTTTTCATGTAGATTTTTATACATTGTCTGGAACAACTGAGCTCCAAACCTGATGCAGATATAGACACTTCACAGTAAGTAAAGCTGCAGTTTATTTTATTTTGCATGTAGGAGCATTAGAATTATGTTTGATCTTAATGCTCTGAGACTTATGAGATTGGTGTCGATATTAAAGTCAAGCTTATATAAGTGATCTATACTGTTTTTTTAATACTTTATCATCTAAGTTCATCTTACTCTTACTGTAACCTTAACGACACAATAGTTTGTTAAGTTACTAATGAAAAAGGAAAATTATGAAGTAGAAAATTTAAATCATTAATTCCTAAATGATTAATTTTAGAATTCTGGTGTTAGAGATTGTGCCCGTACTTTTGTTAAAGAATAATTATCGTGTGCCATTGAGTTGGAACCAAACCATCGCTGACCCAGTGACAATTCATTGGGTTTTCAGTGCCAGTGAATTGCACAAGAGGAGATAGTGCATCTTTCTCCTGCAAAGCTGCTGGTGGATTCAAACCATGTGTCTTTGCATTGGCAGCATAATTCCTTACCAATTATTTTAACTCAATTATTTTAGAGGAATAATTTTAGAATTTTAACTCAATGTCAAGTTTCCTTATTTGGGCTCTGGGGGACATTTCTTCATTCTTGATGCTTACAAAGCCATGTGATAATGTCTTTATAATGGTGTTATGAGGGACCTCTAGTGGCTTAGTGATAAGGAATTACACTCCCAACCCAAAGGTATGCAGGTCAAACCTACCAACTGCTCCTTGGGAGAAAGATGGAGAGTCTCCTCCTGTGCAATTTACTGACTCAGAAAACCTGCCGAAGCGTCTGTTCCAACTCAGTGGCACATAACAGTGGTGGTCTGAGGAGTTATAAAAATCGAGTTGTCCTAGATAATGCTCAGCATGTGTAACTTCTGTGCTCTGGTATGGATTGATTGTTGATTTCAGAATTTTTCCATATTTTCTCACTTCCTGGTTTGGGTTTTGCTTTCTGGTATGTAAGATCAGCACCTCCCTTGTTAGGTGCCACAGTCAACTTTGACTCATAGCAGCACTCTCAACAAGAGAATGAACCCCCCTGTTGTCCTTGTTATGTGCTGTCGAGTTGCCTGCAAATCATAGCAACCCTATGTACAACAGCCCTAAACCCTTCTCTGTCCTGTGCCAGTCTTATTGTCTCTGATACACCTATCCTCATTACTGTAGTCACTGAATCAATCCATCCCATCTAGGGTCTTCCTTTCTTATGCTGTCTCTCTACCCTCCCAAAGCATGACATCATTCCCCAAGGACTGATCCTACCTTGCAACGTGCCCAAAGTATATCTGACGAAGCTTCAGAATCCTTGCCTCCAAGGAGTAACCTGGAATCACCCTCTCCAGAATGAACCTGTTTGCTCTCCTGGCAGTGTTCCCCAGCACCACATCTCCAAGGCATCAATTTTCCTATCATCCCTAGTCATTGTCCGACTTTCCGATGTATAGCAAGTAATTGCAAAGACCATGGCCTGTGGAACTTAATAAATACTTCATCTTTCCATTTCTTATTAGATTTGTTTTTACATGTTTAACTCTTTAATCTAGCAGGACTTTGTATTATTCATCAGTTCCCTGCCATTATTGATCAAATGTTTTCTCTCTCATTGTTTTATGCATTAAGTATATAGTGAAATATATTTATGAACCTAATCCCTGTTCCAATCATATATTTTAATGCTATATCTGTTGAGATCAGCGCTATTTTAAGTTTGTTTTCATATTTTGTTAGATCTCTATCCTTCTATTGCTTCTCTTTTTGAAATATCTTTTGATAGTTTCATCTCTTCCTTATGAATTCTATAATCAATTGGTCATGCGTAAAGAAAAGAAATATTGCTGAGGCATTTGCTATAATTAAGTTAGATCTAGAAATTAGTTTGTGGATTTATGGTGTCACCTTTTTTCCCTGGGAGTTACAAACTTGTTTCCTAACTCAACTCCTTGGAAGGTACTTATTATGCCCTCTGCAGAGACTGAGGTCAGAAACATGGAGGAATTTAAGCTAAATGCCTTTTCCCCTACCTCCTTTGTGTTTTGTTTGTAAATTTAATTAATAGATTAAAAACAAAATTCATAACCCCATGTTAACCTGTAGTTCCTTCTTTGAGTTGTTGATTACTTGATACAGAATATGTGATTTGTTTTTCACCAAAATATTTTAAAGTCATTTACAAATGGTTCATTGAGTTTGTTTGTTGCTGTTGTGTTGTTTTAAATTGTAATGTTTAAATGATACTCTTTTATTACTCTTTTTGCATACAGTCTTTCTGTTGATGTTTCTTCTCCTGATTTGTTTGGAAGTATTCATGAAGACTTCAGTTTAAGTTCTGTAAGTAAGATGATAACTAAAAAGGAAGACTTGACATTTAAAATGGCATTGACTGTTTTATAAATCACTCTACGTAATTTTGAACACTACTACTGTGCTCCTCTAGCATTCTACTCCAATTTGGTACTGTTTTATCTTTTTACAAAATTAGTAAAAGTAGTTTTTACATGTATTTAACGTGCAAAAATTTTTAGCTGAACATGCAGCTTAAAATGTCCTATGTGATAGCTGCATCTCTGCAGCTTTTCAGAGTGCTCAGAAGATGCTCTAGTGTTCTTCTGACAGCTCTGGAGGCACAGAACAACTCTTTGGTGGTCTGGATCCACAAATGGCACCCTTGGAAGAAAGATGGGCACCTCCTGTGCAGCCTCTGAAAACCCATCGGAGGGTCAGCTATGAGTCTACTCTGACCTGACGGCAGTAAGTTTGAGGTTGGTTTTGCTTTTTCTAGGACCTGGAAAGCTACCATGATGAGTTACATAAGAGACAAAGGACAAGGCAACGATTTCTACTACATTTCCTTCCTCTTCCCAAAAGCTTGGCTTTTATGTTCTCTTAAAGTTCCTTAACAGCATTTGAACACAAGGTTCCATGGCAAATGCCAAGCTAAGCCACCTTTATGTATTTGTTATTATGTGCTGTCAAGTCAGAACTGACTCATAGCTGACCCTTCAGGGTGTTTTCAGAGGCTGTAAATAGCACAGAGGGAGATTACTTATCTTCCTCTTGTTGAGCAGCTGGTGGATTTGAACCACATGCCTTTTTGTTTGGTAGCACCACTCTTCATCACTAGGCCACCAGAGCTCCCTGTTTACATGCAGGAATGGCATCTGCTTCCTAAACAACTTCCTTCCGGAAACTCCATGAACTTTGATAAATGTCAATAGTTCTGGAGGGTCTTTAGGCCTTTTGTTCATAGGGTCGCTATGAGTCATGATTGACTTGAAGGCAATCAACAATAACAATAATATAGTGTACTTAGGGAGGATTCATACACGTACTTCATCACACAGAAATTCACCCATTGAACTCTGCACACCATTTACCTTAAGAAAAAGAGCTCTCTCTGATTTTACATATATGCATATATATCTGTGTCTATGACTTCAGAAACAAAATGTACTAGCTGTTATACAAGTAAATTCCAAAATCAGTTATATACAGTGGAGCGTGAAACATACAGTCTAAAGTAACCAATGTGACGTTTGTTTCTTTTCTAACAAAACCAAAACCAATCTGGTTTTATTACTTGGATGACAAGATAGACAATGATACAGAATTCAAAGATGTGGAGAAATCAACAAAAATGCATATTTTAGAACCAGATTATACAGTTCATTTAAGACTTTACCAAAAGCTTGAAAAGACAAACTATGGACTGGGAAAATATTTCTAGAAACCACATAACCAACAAGAATCTAATAACTGAAATACAGGCAGTTGCTGTATTTCTGCATTATGAGCGAGTTTGGTCCTTAAGTCTCTAAGTTGAATTTGTACATAATTTGGAAGAGTTAGGTACAGTTTGTGTTTCATATCAATTAACCAAAGGTTGGTCTTAGCACACAGTGGATAGTTTATCTTTTTATATGTGAAATCACACTTCCGTATACACTAACCCATCTTTTTCATAATAGGGAGATAATAATGCTTTGCTGCATTTAGGAATATGGTGACTATTTGTTGTTACAAATCTTTGTACATACTTCAGGATTTAAAATGACAGATCTTCACAGATTTGTAACTACTGGTTGGTTGTGAGTTGGACATTCATAACCTATACACAGACAAAACTACTAATAGGACTATTAAATAGGAATACCAATGGAGCTCTGATGGCCTAGCAGTAAAAAGCAGCATTGCAATCCCAAAGACATGCAGTTTGAATCCACCAGTTGCTCTGTGGGAGAAAGATGATCTGTCTCCTCCCATGCAATTTACTGCCTATAAAAACCCACTGAAAGGTCAGCTATGGATTGGTTCTGACTCGATACCACACAACAACAACAAGCAACTTATAGTAATACCAGCACTGCCACTAGATATATGTCAGCAGACTAGAAAGTAGATACGCAAACAGAGACTTGTATACCATTGTTCCTTGTAGCACTACTCAGAATACTCAGAAGGTGGAAACAATCTAAGACCCCTCAGTAGACCAAAATATGGCACATATATCCACTGGAATACTTAACCAGTGATAGAAATAAAGATTTGATATATGCTACAAGAAGGATGGCATTTAAATACATTGTGCAGAGTGAAACAGGTCAGTCATAGAAGGCCAGATGTCTTAAAACTTCACTTTTTTTTTTTTTTATTTTGTGTGTGTGTACCATCAAATTGGATCTGATTGGTACAGGAGGAGGTTACCCCTCCTTCTCCAGCAGAGCATCTGAGGATTGCAGTGCAGCTTCTTGCCACTAGGCCACCAGAGCTCCCTATAACTTCACTTCTTAAAAAATAAACTCATAATAACTCATAATTCATCACTGTCTAGTCAGAACCTACTCATAGCTGACCTGCCAGCTGCCAGTGGGTTTTCAGGAGGCTGTAAATTGATCAGGAAGAGAGTGCCCATCGTTCGCCTGAGGAGCTACTGGTGAATTCGTACCATCAGAGATGTTGCTTTTGGATTAGCATCTCAACCCTACAAACTATACCACCAGCTTTCCGTAAAAAGACAAGTGAAATCTAATTTGTAAGAGCTAAATTTCTTAGTGGTTACTGGGGACAGGTCACCTAGGGCAGGACACCTGGGGATAGCTCTCACCAGAGCGTAATCCATAGGAAGCTGCACTGCCAGTTCAAAGGCTGTGCCTTCCTGGCTCAGCATCTCGGAAAGATGAGCATTCTCCTTCTGTGGGACTACCAGCCTCAGAAACCCCAGAGACTCAGCTGTGGCTCCGGTCCAACTCCATGGCATTGAGGGCTTTTGTTTGGTTGGTTAGTTTGTTTGTTTGTTTGACCTAGGACAGGAGAGAGGGGAAGATGGGAGCAGTAATAGTGATGGGAAATAGCACATGGATTATGGGCAGGGCTGCACAACCAATGATTGTAGTTGTTGTCAGACGTGTCTGTACAAGAGAATGAACCTGTGCCAAGTCCTGCATCCTGCAGTCTCTACTTAAGATCATTGTGCTCTAGGAGTCTGCCTCTCTTTCCCTGACCCTTCCTGACAATATGCCTAAATTGGATGAGAGGAAGTTTCATCATCTTTGTCTATAAGAAGCATCCTGGTTATACTTCCTCTGAGGTAGACTTGTTTGTTCTTTGGTAGTCTATAGGATACTCAATTCTCTTCTCCAACACCACATTTAAAGGCATGGATTCTTCTTCAGTCATCCATACTCATTGTCCATCTTTCAAATGTATACATAGCAATTGAACAGATCATGGCTTGAATCAGGCACACATTCATCTTTAATCTCATATCCTTGCCCGAAGGACTTTAAAGAGGTCCTTAACAGCAAATTTCCTAAAGGAACATGTCTTTTGATTTCTTGACTGCTTCTATCATGGCTATTCATTGTGAAAGCAAGTTAAATGAATTTGTTGAAAACTTCATTCTTTTTCTTCATATTGCCAATGTCAGATGAACTTGGCAAAAAGCAGAGTACCAAAAAATGTCTGTGTTTCATTGACTATACAAAGACATTTGACTGTGTGGATCACAATAAATGTCGCTAACCTTGAGGAAAATGGGAATCTCAGAACACTTGATCATGCTTATATGAAACCTATACTTGGACCAAGCAGCAGTTCTCAGAACAGAGTAAGGAAACACCGTATAGTTCAAAATCAGGAAAGCAATGTGTCAGGGATGCCACCTGTCCCTGTACCTTTTCAATCTGTATGCAGAACAGATCATTCAGGAAGCAGGGAGAAGTGTAGCATCAAGATTAGAGGAAGACTCATTAACAACCTTTAATATGCAGGTGACACAACAAGCAATTGCCGAAACTGAAGAAGACCTGAAGCACTTGCTGTAAAAGGTCAAGAACTTAGACTTCAGTATTGATTGTAGCTCAACATCAAGAAGACAAAGATTTTCGTCACTGGGCCAATTGGTAGCACCATAGTAGATGGATGGAGAAGAGATTGAGGTTGTTAGCAATTACAGCTTGCTTGGATCCATAATCATCATTCTTAACACCAGCAGTCAGGAAATCAAAAGATGAATTGCATCGGGAAAATCTACTCTCATGGACCGTTCCAGAGTGTTGAAGAGCAACGATGTCAGTCTAGATACAAAGGTGCACCTAATCCAGGCCATGGTTTTCTTCTCAGTTACTTGTTATGCTTCAGAGAATTGGACAGTGACTAAAGATGACAGAAGAATAAATGCCTTCGAGCTGTGGTGCTGGAGAAAAGTCTTGAACATACCATGGACTGACAAGAAAACCAATAGGTCTGTTTTGGCAAGGGTGAAACCAAGTCTCTCCTTGGAGGCTAAGATTTTGAAGCTCCACCTCACATACTTTAGGCACTTGGCCAGGAGAGATAGGTCCTTGGAGAACATCATGCTTCGAAGGGTGGATGGACAGCGCAGGAGAAGGAGATGAAGCAGATGAGGTAGATTGATACAGTAACTGGGGCAATGAAGGTTGGTATGTTGTAATTAGTGAGACTGGCTCAGGACTGGGAAAGGTTTAGAGCTACTGTACATAGGGTCACTGTGCATCGTAGGCAACTCAATGGCACATAACAGTAATATACTATAACAGGTTTGGAAGCAGGAGTGATATGCACTTCCTAAACAACATGCCTCTGGAAACCCTATGAACCTTGATAAATGTCAGTAGTTGTTGAGGGGCTTCAGGTCTTTTGTTCATAGGGTCACTATGAGTCATGCTCGATTCTAAGGCATTCAACAACAGTTTGAAATTATCTATTGATCCAGTGCTGAGGATTTTTGTTTTCTTGATGTTGATATATAATTCATACTGCTGGCTATAATCAGATCTTCTGCAGCAGATGCTTCAGGTCTTCTTCACTTTCTGCAAGCAAGATTGTATCATCTGTGTAATGTAATTTGTTGATGAGTTTTTCCTTCAATCCTGATGCTATGTTCTTTTTCATATAGTTCAATTTCTTAAATGATTTGCTCAGCATACATATTGAATAGGTATGGAAAAAGGATACATGCACCTTTTCTGATTTTAAACCATGCGGTGTTTACTTGCTCTGTTTGGACAGCTGCTTCTTGATCTATGTATAGATTTAAAATGAGCATAATTAAGTGTTCTGAATTCCCATTATTCTCAATGTTATTTATAATTTGTTATGATCTGCACAATGAAATGCTTTTGCATGCCAATAAAACAAAAATAAACATATTTTTGGTGTTCTCTGCTCTCAGGGAAGAATCCATTTGACAGAAGCAGTGGTATCCCTCTTGCCATGGCCTCTTCTGAATCCTACTTGAATTTCTGGCAGTTTCCTGTGGATATACTATTCCAGCCACTTTTTTATAGGCATCAGCAATATTTTACTTGCATGTGATTGTTAGTAATATTGTTTGATTATTTCCACATTCTGTTGAATCAGGTTTTTTGAGGAATGGGAATAAATATTAGTTTCTTCAGGTTAGTTGGCCAAGTAACTGTCCTCTAGATTTTTTGAAACGTGTTCGTGAGCATGCCTAGGGCTGGATCTATGGTTCAAACGTTTCATTTGGAATTCTGTCAGTCCCTGGGGCTGTATTTTGTTTTTTTGCCAGTGCCTTTGGTGCAGCTTGAGCGTCTCCTGTCATTACCATTGGTTCTTTATCAAATACAGCTTCCTGAAATTGTTCAGTATTGACCAGCTCTTTTGGTACTGTGACTTCCATCTTCTTATGATGCTTCCTCCTGCATTCAAGATTTTGTCCACAGAATCCTTCAGTGTTTCAACTTAAGGCTTGAATTTGTTCCTCACCTTGAGAAAAGCCAAGCATGTTCTTCTGTTTTGATTTTCTAACTCCAGGTCTTTGCACATTTCTTTATTATACTTTGCTTTAGATTCTCAAACCACCCTTTGACATCTTCTCTTCATCTCTTTTACTTCTTCATTTCTTCCCTTTTTTTTTTTTTGGCCTTTCTATGTTCTTTCTAGTGCAGTGAGCTCTGGTGGCCTACTGGTAAAGAGCTGTGCTACCAACCCTAAGGCACATGGTTCAAATCCACTAGCTTCTCTTTGAGAGAAAGACTGACAGGAAGAGAGATTTCTTCCTGTTCTTATTTACAGTGTCTGAAAACCCCCTGGAGGATCATCTAGGAGTCGGTTCTGACTGGATAACACGCAACATGTTCTAGTGCATAGGGCAGAGAAAAAGTAGCTGGCTGAGATGTACTGCCCAAAGGGTGGTATAGGAGAGATGCCTCCATATAATGGTAGTGAGGAATTGATGTTATTTGACTTGTGTTCGGAATGTCTTGAGTTGAGTTTTTTACAGTTAAGTCTTGGGAGAGTAAGTTGTGGGGAGTTGTGCTGCTAAGCCAAATATATCACCTTTTCTGAGGGTTCAAATCCACCTGCAGTTCCAAAAGAAAACGATGAGCCATCTCCTCCTGTGCAGTTTTCAGCCTCAGAAACCCACTTAGAGGGTCAGCTATAGATTGATTCTGACTCAACAACAAGAAAAAGTATTGTTAATGGGTTACTCTCTTCCAGAAATTAAGATAGAAATGTGTGTTTTAAAAATTTAGAAACTTGTCTATTTTTTTTTTAACTTGAACTAACTTTTTAAATTCTTTAGAGATATATGCTCAAAGAACAGGAACAGACTTACTTCACCATTTATTTTAATAAATTATTTTAATTCTCATTACACAAAACATGAGTGAGAAATTTTCCTGGAAAGTGGTTTTGCCCTGTTTTTAGTCAGAGCATCTTAAATCAAGACCCGATATTACTCACAATGATTCCTGAGAACACATTTACCTCCAGAGCATGTCCGGGACTCTAAATACGGTCCCAAACTCCATTCTCAGAACTTTATTTACAAAAATATTTCTTCTAAACTATAAGAGGATGTTGTACCAATCAGCATTTATAAATGATGATTTTGATAAGAAATTCTTTTAAGAGCTATAACCCGTGGTAGTTGTAGAAGAAAATTGAGTTTTACTCCTTCCTCTTCAGGGACACTCACTTTTTTGCTCTTATCTGAATCATTTGACCTTTCCAAGAAACTCTTTACTCCTCATAAAGAGAAAAAAGTCTTATTCTTTGTGTACATTTAGTCACTTCAGAACCAAGTATATGAAGGAGACCATCATATTAAATGAATAATAGCCTTAGTGTTCATGTGGATAATCCCTCAGCTTGATAACCAGAAGGTGGATGGTTTAAACTCCCTAACCATCCTGCAGGGAGATGTCGGGCAGTCTGTCTCAGTAAAGATTCCAGCCTAGGAGACCCTGGGGTCAAGTCTACTCCATTCCTGTGAGGCCACTTGGAGTTGGAATCACTGGGTTTCAGTTTTGTTTATCATATACAATTTCTGAAAAGTTTATAAACTATTTCATAAAAATTACTCCATATTCTAAGTAATTGTATAAGAATAAACACCAATGACTTCACTGTTTGATGTATACAAAATATGAAGTAGAATAATCACTAAAGTTAAAGTAGGACTGCCTTTTTATGAACAATTGACCCTGCTTTACTCATAGAACTGTGTTCTATCTGTTTTTCCATACAGTCATTAGCTTTCAAAAGGATCATTGACAGATGTATTGTTTAATAGTGAAGGATCGGAAGCATTGTGGTATTTTACTATGTTTCTCCCCTGTGTTTCTACTGGAAAGAAGCAGATAAGCAAACACAGCACTGACTATCAATATTGAATAGCAAGGGATTATAATTAAACTCAGTGACTTGTAAATGTTGTTTGTTGCACTCTCAATTTATTATTTAAAATTTAATATTTTGAATATTTGTTTTACTTTCAGGAACAACGACTTTTGATAGTTCTAAGTAATTGCTGTTACCTAGAACGTCATACCTTCTTAAATATAGCAGAACTTTTTGAAAAGCACAGCTTCCAAGGAATAGAGAAAATAACTCAGGTAAATAAATAATGTTTCATGGACAAATGATGTGTTTTACCTACTTAGTTTCCAACTTTTTTTTCCTACCCTCTTTTCTTCTGTTTTTCTGTGCTTTGCCTATACTGGACTCTGCTTACTTCCCTACTTTCTCCTCCACCTTCAGTTTACTTTGAATGTCTCCTTCCTCCTCATAGCTCACCTTGAATCAGTAATTCATTATACTCTTCTTTGAAGCAAAGTTTTCTCAAGATTATGTAAGAATGATTTGATATGACTCTTAAGTTAAAGCTTTTAGATATTGTCACCAACAAATGTTTGGAGCCTGTCGAGATCTCTCCCCTTTCTGATTTTTTACATGTCTCGTCCTTCTGAGTGACCGCAGTGATATCTTTGCCCTAGTTTCTGTGCACACACACCTCACACACATGTACATTTGGTTTAGAGTATCTTCAGAAACATGCTCCTCTTGAGTCAGTCCCAACTGATGGTGAGCTTCCAGCAGGTTTTTGAAGCAGGACACCACCCATCTTTCTCCCATTGGACCTGGATTGGTGGACTTGAAATGGAGCCAAACACATAATGCATTATGCCATCAGAGCTCCTCAGGTAGCTTTTAAGACCCATAATACTTTGAATATTGGATGGTCTCCACCTCCAACACATGAGATTAGCAAGGTTGAGCAAAAAGGAGTTCTGTAAATAAATGAAGTGGATTTTGTTAGTGTTTTATTTTTAATGTTATAGTTTGTTGTTTCTATAGTATTTTTAAGCAAGCCCCCCCAAAAAAGGAGGAAGATTAAATAACCTTGCTATTGCAGTTTGCCTGATTCCTGGCAAATTATCAGATTTCTAAGTAAAGCTATGCTAGAAACACTGTTCAATGTCAGTACAGTTTTCTCAGTGCAAACAGTAAAAAAGATAATGATCTTGTTAATCTTAAAATCAAAATGTACTTTTGATGAATTTCATAGGTTTGTTGTTTTTTTTTAACAATTGGTGGTTCCAGTTCATGAACCTTTTTTTTTTTTTTTTCAAAGAATTAAAATGTTGAAGTGGGCGGCTCTGTCTTGCTTTCCTGCCTTTTCGTAAAGATTAATCATCCTGATGAGAAATTGATGAGAAATGTTGTAACTAACGACTTTGGGCTATCCTGAAGAGAGAGAGAAAAAAAATGAACTTCAAAAAAAGAAAACCTCGAACCCACTGCCTTCAAGTTAATTTCAGCTCCTGGTGACTGTATAGGACAGTAGCACTGTTCCATAAGGTTACCAGAACCAGTAAATCCACAGAAACGGTGCCCAGTCTTTCTCCCATGTTATGGCTGCTGGGTTCAGAACATCCATCTTGTGATGAGAAAGAAGCACAATGATTAACTGCTATGCCACCAAGGCTCCTTTTATGGCCATAAAAATCCCATTGGTCAAATGCATTTTATGCCAACTCTTACCAACTCATGTTGATATGATAAGATAGAGGCTAGAGTAGATATAGGATAGAGATAGAACTGACTCAGAGTTTTCAAGGCTTTCCAGTACTCAAAATACTTTCAGTTGCTCAAATGAAAGTTCAAACTAGCTGAAGAAAATCAAGACCACAAGGACCAAAATATGATCTTGAGTGTTTCCCATCTGAATTTAGAATGAAAAGAGATTTGATGAATTGAACACTAGAGACCAAGAAACAAGATGAGTGTGAAAAGCATTAAAAATACGGGAAAGAAAGAAAAGACCAAATGGATAGCTACTTGCTCTAGAATAGAGAAGCTGAAGTGAAAGGAGGAAATGATGCCAAAATAGCTGAGCAGAAATTTCAGGAGGCAGCAAAAGAAGACAAAGTATTCTAATGAAATCTGGTTTTCCTTCAGTAGTACTTTGCTTACCTGAGATCTTGTTCCGTTCCATACAAATATGCTAATTAGTTTTTTCCTTTTCTATGAAGACTAATGATGGAATTGAGATTGCATTATTTGCAAATTTCATTGGGTAGGGATTAAAATATACAATTATGTCTTCCTGTATGTGAACAATTTTCTTGATATTGAGCTTCAATCCATATTGAAGATTGCAGTCCTTGACCTTCTATAGCAAGCATTTCAGGTCTTTGTCAGTTTCAGCAAACAGGGTTGTTGTGTCACCTGCATAACGCATATTGTTGATGAGTTTTCCTCCAATGCCACATTTCTCCTCATAGAGCCAAGCCTCCCAAATAATCTGTTCTGCATAGAGATTGAATAGGTGTGGAGATAGAACACAAACCTGGTGTACACCCTTCACAATTTTGAACCATGCAGTGTTTCCTTGCTCTGTTCTGACAACTGCCTCCGGGTCCAAGTATAGGTTTCACATAAGCACAATTAAATGTTCAGGGATTCCAATTCTTCTTAGAGTCAGCCACAGCTTTTTTGTGATTCACACAGTCAAAAAGTCTTTGCATAGTCAATGAAGCAGAGATAGACATTTTTCTGGTATTCTTTGCTTTCTGCCAAGATCCATCTAACATTAGCTATACTATCCCTAGTACCACGACCTCTTCTAACCCAGCCTGCACTTCTAGCAGTTCTCTATTGATGTACTGTTCCAGTTGTTTTTGGATAGTCTTCAGCAGAATCTTGCTTACATGTGATATTAATGATATTGTTCAATAATTTCCACTCTATTGAATCACCTTTCTTTGCAATGAGAACAAATAAGATCTATTCCAATCAGTTTGCCAGGTGGTTGTCCTCTAGATCTCTTGGCACAACTTGGTGAGCACATCTAGTGAGCATCTATTGAAATATATCATTTGGTATACAGTCAATTCCTGGGGCCTTTTTTTTTTCCAATTCTTTCAGAGCAGCTTGAACTTCTTCCGTCATCACCACAGGCTTTTGCTTATACTCATGAAATTCTCCTGTGTCTACCAATTCCTTTTGGTACAATGACTGTGTATACTCCTTCCATCTTCTTTTAATGCTTCCTGAATCATTCAATATTCCACCCAAAACATCCTTAAGTATTGCAATTCGAAGCTTGAATTCATTCATTAGTTCCTTGAGCTTAAAAAATGCTGAGTGAGTTCTTTTATTTTCTGACTCCAGCTCTTTGCACATTTCATTATACTTTACTTTGTCTTCCCGCACTGCCTGTTGAAATCTTCTGTTCAGCTCCTTAATATCTTGATTTCTTCCCTCTTCTTTGGCTTCTTGACAATCTAGTGCAATATTCAGTCTCTTCTGACATCATGATGGATGGTGAAGAGATTGAGATTATAAACAGCTTTAATTTGCTTGGCTCCATAATCAACACTCTTGGCACCAGCAGCCAGGAAATTAAAAGGCATATTGCATTGAGAAAGTCTGCTGTCAGAGACCTCTCCACAGTACTGAAGAGCAATGATGTCAGTCTGGAGACTAAGATTTTCCTGATACAGGCCATGGTCTTTGCAATCACTTGCTATGCATGTCAGAGAGCTGTACAATGACTAGGAAGGATAGAAAGAAAATTGATGCCTTTGAGCTGTGGTGTTGGAAGAGAGTATTGAATATACCATGGACTGCTAAGAAAACGAACAGGTTCATCCTGGAGAGGGTTAAACCAGGCTGCTCCTTGGAGGCAAGGATTCTGAAGCTTCATCTGACTTACTTTGGACATGTTGCAAGGAGGGGCCAGTCCTTGGAGAGTGACGTCATGCTTGGGAGGGTGGAGGGACAGTGCAGGAGAGGAAGACCCTCAATGAGATAGATTGATTCAGTGACTGGGGTAATGTGGGTAGCTGTATCAGAGACAATAAATTGGCACTGTCCTTGACCTTCTGCAAGAAATCCTTAATGTCCTCTTCAATTTCAGCAAACCAGGTTGTGTCTTCTGCATAATGCAGATTGTTGATGAGTCTTCCTCCAATCCTGATGCCACATTCCTCCTCATAAAACCTAGCCTCCCGAATGATCTGTTCTGCATATAGGTTGAAAAGGTATGAAAATAGGATATATCCCTGATGCACACCTTTCCTGATCCTGAACCATGCGATGTTTCAGGAAATCAAAATATAAATTTCACTGGGAAAGTCTGCTATCAGGCAGTACTGAAAAGCAATGATGTCAGTAAGTCAGTATGGAGACTAGGGTGCGACTGATCTAGGCCATGGTCTTCACAGTTACTAGCTATGCATCAGGGAGCTGGACAGTAACAAAGGATGATAGAAATAGGATTGATGCCTTTGAGTTATGGTACTGGAGAAGAGTATTGATCACCATGGACTGCCAGAAGTACAGATTTGTCCAGGAAAAGGTGAAACCAGGCTGCTCCTTGGAGGCAAGGATTTTGAAGCTGTGTCTCACACACTTTGGACACATGGCCAGGCAGGACCAGTTCTTGGAGAGGGACATGATGCTTGGAAGGATGGAGGGACAGCGTAGGAAAGGAAGACCCAGGATGAGATGGATTGACTCAGTTACTGGAGAAATGGGATTAGCTGTGTCAGAGATGATGAGATTGGCTCAGGGTAGAGCACTGTTCAGAGCTAATGTATTGTACATAGTGTTGCTATGAGCCACAGGCTACTCGATTGCACATAACAACAGCAGTGTCATTTTGTATCATTGAGTCAAAACAGACCCATAGCTGACACTCTGGTTGGTTGTCAAAGGTAGTTAATCACATGGATTGCAGTGCAGCTTCTTACTTATTTAAGTAGTAGTATTGTAGCAGGGTATGACTTTGTTTCTATGTACTTGATTTTCCCCCCCTTGATCTTCCTATTGCTGCTTTATAATTTAAGGCATTGTTTATAGTATTTCAGCCTTTTTTAATTTATTGAGACTTGCTTTGTGACCTTACATGTTATGTGTTCTAGAAAATGTTCCATGTACACCAGAGAAAGATGTTCATTATGCTGTTGTCTATGAGGTTAGATTAATTAGTTCATTTTATTCTTAAGTTCTTCTGTTTTTGTTGAGATTTTTTTTTTTTCAGTTTTTCTGTTTTTCATCAAAAGTATACTAAAGTCTCTTAGTATTGTTGTCTTTATGTTAGCCAAAA